TGTTGCCAAGACCATAGTATAGTCATCAAATCCCGCTTCCTCTGCCTTCTTCTTGGGCACGTGAGAAAATGGACTTCCCCATCCCCCACATGGCTGGTTCTGAACAATGACATGTGAGCTCAAGTGAGAGGTGTCACTCTCAGACTGAGTCCATGAAAATGCCCTAGGAGATTCTCCGAGCTCTCTCTTCCTCAGCTGTGCAACGTAGAAACCTTGGGGAGAGATGACAGAGCCCAGGTTAGTGAGTCACCATGTGGAGGACAGCTGTCCTGCAGAGCAGCTGAGACCCACAGTAGAGTGCATGAGGGAGAAAGAAATTTTAACCATATTCACTGAGATTGTTGCAGTTCTTACTGCATTATAACCTAGTCTAACCTGATTCACTCACTAGAGTGAGTCTATCAACATGTACTCCCACCAACAGTGTAGGAGAGTTCCATCTCCTTGTTTTTCTTAATTCAAAACACGTTTCTTGGAGCACCCGGGTGGCTCAGTCGGTTAAATGTCTGCCTTCAGCTCAGGTCGTGATCCCAGATCCCAGAATGGAGCCCCGTATCAGGCTCCCTGTTCAGTGGAAAGCCTGCTTCTCCCTCCCTCACTCCCCCTGCCTGTGTTCCCTCTCTCACTGTCTCTCTCTCTCTCTGTGTCAAATAAATAAATAAATAAAATCTTAAACAAACAAACATGTTTCTTAAGCACCTACTACATCTTGGCTTTTAGTTTGGACGCTGCAGACAACAGTGAGCACAAAAAACAGGAAGATCTAGCCTCATGGAGCTTCAGTGCCAGTTTCAAACTATAAAAAGAATAACATACTCTCATATTTGAGAAAGTGGTCGCTCCTATGAAAAGCCGTAAAGCCAAGTAAAGGGGGTTGGGAGTGTTGGGTTACAATTTTAAATGGGACCATCAAGAACATGTCATTTGCTAGAATCTTTCCTTTCTTTCTTTCTTTCTTTTTTAAAATAGTCTCCATGCCCCATGGGGGCTTGAACCCAAGATCCTGAGAGCAAGAGTCACATGCTCTACTGCCCAAGCCAGGCAGGAGCCCTGAGAATGTGTCATTTGAACCAGGACTTGAAGGTAAGTGGAAGTGAAGCCCTGTGGCTATTGTGAGAACATCTGAAGAAGAGGAAAGAGTACAAAAGCCCCGAGGCAGACCCAAGTGTTCAAGGAACCGCAAAGAGTCCGAAGTGGCTAGAACAGACAGAGTGAGGGGGAGAGCACAGGAGGTGATGTCAAAAGAAATCACAGGGTCACCCAATCGTGGCGTGGGTCCCCTGGACTCAGGGTGAACATTTAAAATGAGAGCTGGGGGCACCTGGGTGGCTCAGTGGGTTAAAGCCTCTGCCTTCGGCTCAGGTCATGATCCCAGCATCCTGGGATTGAGCCCCCTATCCCGCTCTCTGCTCAGCAGGGAGCTTACTTCCCCTCCTCTCTCTCTCTCTGCCTGCCTCTCTGCCTACTTGTGATCTCTGTCTGTCAAATAAATAAATAAAATCTTTAAAAAAATAAAAAATAAATAAAATGAGGGCGGGAGGCCAGAAGAGGGAGCTCCCGCTCCCTACCCCTCCAATTGTGGACCCCAACAAGAAGAAAGGATTTTGCATTCCCAGCCCGTAGAAGTTCAACTCACAATGGCCGGAGGAGGAAGAAAGATTCTCTCCTGCCCAGCAACAGCCCAGCCAATGAGAGCAGTCACAACCCAACCAATGAACAGCCTCTATACTTCAAACTCCCAGATTACTCCAATGGACTTTTGGTTTGTAACAACCTCTTGCCAACCTACCCCACCCCCCAAAAGAGAGCTCCTTTCCTTCGTTCACAGATGTGCCTGTGGTTTTACTACCTAGCGGCAGTGCTCTGTTATTCCCAAATAAACCCATGTTTGCTGGCAAAATAACCAACAGTTTTAAGGTTAACATGGCATTTGTCTGGATGATAATTTGAATTCCCCTGATTATATTGGGGTTGAGCCTCAGTTTTATTGATCATTCTGAAGGCTCAGAAGATTTGAAGCCACTACCCAGAGTTTTGGCTGGCTGTAGTGTAGGACTACCTGAGGCTTGGAAGCCCAAGAAGATCCCTGTAAGGTCTGTAAGATCATTTCCCAAGCCTGGAAAGGAGGTGCTTGGAGACGAGAACCATCAGATTTATCAAATAGAGGCTCCTTGGATGAATGTCCCATGCAACTTTTGCTTAAAAACATTACATTGAGCATAAGAATGCCGAGATAAAAACAAAACAAAACCAAAAAATGCTCAATTATTCCATTTCTATAAAACTCTAGAACAGGCAAAACTAATCTCTAATGACAGAAGCCAGAACAGTAGTTGCTTGAAAGGTACAGAAATTGACTGGAAAGGTCCACATGGGAGCTAACTTCTGGGGGTGATGGAAATGTTCCAATGTTTGTCTTGAATAGTGGATATGAAGTTGTAGGCAATTGTCAAAACTCACTGAACTGAGTTCTTAAGATCTGTGGCATTTTATTGAATGGAAATTATGCTATAGATAAAAAAAAAAAAAAAGTCACACCTTGGGCTCCGAACAAATCAGAGCAATTTGATTGGTTCAGAGGAAAGGACGTAGGACCTGCTGATTGGCTTATGTCTGAATCACACTGTGAACATTACAGTCAGCTTCCACCAAAGCAAGGACAGTCACCTAGGGGAGTAAGCAAGGGGGCACAGAGCTGGGAGGCAAGTGTGGGTTTGGCTGCTGTAACGAAGTGATACAGAAACTTATTTCTGTCTTAAATAAAAGTCTGGCAGTGGGACTGGAAGGATGAGCTCTGCTCCAGGAAATTATCAAGATCCCAACTCACCACTGGTGTCTCTCCTAACGCCCACGATGGCTGCTCTAGCAGCAGGCAAGAGAGAAGGAGGGCACGTCCCCTCCCTTTAAGAGGATACCCCGAAGTTGCACGCATCGTTTCTGCTCACCTCCTTTTTGGCCCTCATTCAATCAGATGACCACCCCTAAATGGAAAGAAGATTGGGGAACGTAGTTTTTATTGGGGGTGGCAGTGTGCCCAGCTATGTTTCTATTACTCTGGAAGAGAGGGAGAATGGATAATCGAAGACAAATCAAATCACTCTCACTGGTAGTGTAATGGTGTTTAGGAGTGTGGGCTTTTCAGGTTGCTTGGATGCGAGTGATAAAAACTGAACTCAAACTAGTTTGGGATTCGAGGGAATTTTTTTTTTTAAGATTTTTTAAAAAGATTTATTTATTTATTTATTTATTTGACCGGCAGAGATCACAAGTAGGCAGAGAGGCAGGCAGAGAGAGAGGAGGAAGCAGGCTCCCTGCCGAGCAGAGAGCCCCATGCGGGGCTCAATCCCAGGACCCTGAGATCATGACCTGAGCCGAAGACAGTGGCTTTAACCCACTGAGCCACCCAGGCGCCCCTCGAGGGAAATTTTAATAGTTAGTGTACTCAAAGTCCTGACATGATGGTGTGCAGCCGGCCTCGAGAGTACTGGAATCAGGGTAATAAATGTCAACAGGGCTCTCACTCCATCTCTAACTTGCTTCTCCCTGGTGTCAGTTTTATTCTCTCCTCCAGGAGTGGGAAAACGGCCACAGACAGCTCTAGACCTATTCCTTCAAAGCCTCGCCACCCATAAAGAAAAGACTTCTTTTTTAAAAGATTTTATTTTTAAGTACTCTCTACACCCAATGTGGGGATTGAACTCACAACCCCAAGATCAAGAATGGTATGTTCTCGGGGCTGAACCAGCCAGAACGCCACCCCCACCCCGCAAAGGAAAAGACTTCTTGCACCCAGACTCCAAATCCAAAAACCCAGGGAAAGACTCATTCATTGATTCAACCTGTACATTCTGTTCCAGGTGGGACAAAAGGATTGGCCCAGCCTGACTCACTTCCCCGATCCTCCTCGGCCAAGGGTAGGCGGATGACGGGCGGGGCACATACAGGAATGGCATCTCCTATTCTAAACAAACAAACAAAAAAAGTTGTTTCTGAGCTTCAGGAAACAGTTTTCAGCTAATCTTCGCATTCTTTTTCTTCCTAAGGCTGGAATCTTGGTACGAGAAGTGCAAGAATCAGGTGGGTCTAGGAGATACCAGGAGAATAGCTGGGAAGTACGGTCTCCCCAGTCCAGCCAAACACAGGTTCCTGCATACAGCAGGCGCCCCATTCATGCTTATTGAATGAATGCATGCAAGCATGCATGAATGCCCTGTTCCCAGAGGCTATCCTGTGACTGCCCCAATTTCATAGACTCTGAGCTGATCAAGCGTGAAGCGGGGTCCGCACACCTGCCCCCACAGGTGGAACCTTTACTGGAAGAACCTTTACTTGAAGAGCAGAACCTTGAAGACCCCGCCACCTGGTAGGGCCCAGTCGGGGGCGGGGCCTCCAGACCACAGCATTTTGGATTGCACCATCTTCCATCTATTAGAGGGGAGACCCGAGATACTCCTTCTGCATCTTCCGCCAGCCCTTTTAACACTCCCTGGCCACCAAGACGATGTGTTTGCATCTCTAACATCCACACAGCTTCTCCCTTCACCTCGTTACACCTCACGGCTCCCCGCAGCCACACATTTAAGGCTTCCCCACCGCCACCACGCAGTGGCTCGCCCCAGTTTGACGCATTGCAGGGAAGGCCGGACCAATCGGCACCGCGCTCTCATTTCCGCCATGGCCCAGGCCCAATAGCGGCGCGGCTCACACAGGAACGCGTCACGCGCCACACCAGCCGTGTCCCTCCGCCGGAGGGGGCAAGTGGAGAGGACGCAGGGGGGCGGAGCGCGCGGCGACGAAAAGTAGTCCCGCGGCCCGTGCGCGCGCGCGCGCGGCCGGAGGCAAACCCCGGCTCTGCGTGGGGCGGGCGCCAGAGATCCGCGGGTCCGTCGGTGCGGAGTGTGGCGCGGAGGGATCCACGGGAGCCGCAGTGCGGCGGCGCGCGGGAAGGGCGGGGCGGGGCCGGGCTAGGCGGGGCGCGCGCGCAGCGGCCGTTGGAGGACCGTTGGGGCGGGAGGCGGCGGCGGCGGCGCGCTCTGCGGGTAGTGAGTGTGGAGGCGCGGACGCGCGGCGGAGCTCGAGCTGCTGCAGCTGCTGCCGCCGCCGGAGGAACCTTGATCCCCGCGCTCCGGACACCCCGGCCTCGCCATGGTGAGTGAGGCTGGGGGGCCGCCCAGGCTGGGGGCTCTGAGGCGGGCATGGCGGGGCAGGACTCCTGAAGGGGCGAGTGGACCCGGCATAGGGGGTGTCGGGGCCCCGGCGAGCGCCCCTGGACCCTTCTCGGCCCCTCTGTTGGGGGCCTTCGAACCCAGAGCGGGACGTTTGGATCCCGGAAGAGGGTTAGGAGCTTCAAAAGCGACTTTTAATACCAGGTGGGGTATTTAGACCCCAAAATGGGCACCCGAATTCTCAAAGGGGGCATCTGAACCCAGAATGGGGTATCTGGACCCTCAGAGGGGGTTTGGACACCAGAAAGGACTTTTGGACCCAGGGTGGGGCGTTGGATCTCTGAGGTGGGGTGTTTAGACCCCTTGGAGGGCGAGATAAGAAGCATTGGCCGGGGAAGGGGGTATTCGGGCCCTAATGAAGACTTTGGGTCCTCAAAGGATGCGGGGAAGGGAGATCGGAGGAAGGCCAGGCTGCCGGCGAGCTCCCAAGAGGGAGCCGTGTGTAGCTGGACCTGGGTGGGGAGAGTCGCAGGGATGGGGGCGACTTCTGCAGATCAGACCCCGGAGGGGAAGGGGGGAGTTCTGGGAAGACCAGCATTGCAGAGGGAGGAGGAGGAGGAGGGTGAGGTGCAAGCTTAGGGCAGGAAGAGCCTGGGGTGGGTAGCAGTGGCCATTGGAAGATGCTCTGCGAGCCTCCAGGGACTGAAAAGGATTGGGGTAGGGGAGGTGGTTAAGAGGGAATGGTGAGACTGGTCTTGCCAGTGGTGGGGGAGCAGGAGACCTCGTGGTTGGTTTGGGGGGCGGCCAGAAAAGGTTCTGAGGTTACTAGTGGGTTGAGGCTGTTGAACTAGGGAGGTTGGTTTTCATGGGAGGGGGCTGGGGCGGAGTGTTGCATTGGGCCCCTGAGAAGGTGGGGGTAGAAGAGGAGCCTGGCTTGGGTTGTGGGAGGTGAGGTGGAAGGAGGGCGGGGGTGGGGCCCCGGGGGGGGGGTGTCGGAGGAGAAAATGAATGGCAGCCAAGGTGGGCCTAGATTTGGAGGTGGATGTGGGCTGCTCCCTGGAAGTCTCCAGGGAAAGACCAGGACAAAGACTGTTCAGTCTAAATGGGGAGTGGGCTGCTGAGGCTGAAGGGAGTGGCTGGACGGTCCCCCTTCCCCAGGAAGGATGGGGCTGGGCAGGAGGCGCCCTGGCTGTGGGAGCAGGTGGGTGGAGTTGTTCAGGCTCCTATTGCGCACTGAAGCAGCATGAAATGGGGGGGTGGGGGACCAAAGTTTGGGATGCATCAAACGAGCCAGCCTTTTAAGCCTGGAATCTCACCCCCTCGCTGCCCCTTCCAGACAGAGAGAGCTGCTTTTTCCACACAGGAGTGCTGGTTTTCTTGTGGTCTCCAGCTCCGGGCACTGTTCTGCGCGTCTCCTCACTTGTGCCAAATGACAGTGCAGTACAGTGTGGCGTCGGTGACAATCGGACGCCTGTTCCCTTGGCCTCGGGGTGGGGGCTGCAGAGCTGGAACAGAGAGGACCTCCAGAGGGACCCCTTCTTCTGCCCGAGGGCTACTTGTTCCATCCGGGGCCCTCACTGAGCGCCTCTGTTCATTCACACAGCTGGAGCTTTGAGAGAAAACCAGCAGACTGGTTCTTTCCTGCTCCCTGCCACCCACAGCACCCACAGCCCCCCCAGGCTCAGCTTCGGAACCGCGCGCAGCCCTCCTCCCTGGCAAGGCCGGGGAGAGCAAGCAGCCGCTGCTGTGTATCAGATCTCAGACTTGCTGACACAGACCTAGTGGCTCCTCTTGCCGCTACCCTATTTTCCCCCAGCAGAACCTTGCTCTAGGGGCCCTCAAGGCCTTCTTGGCCGGTGCCAGAAGCGGCCCCCCCCCCCCATCGCGTCCCAAATAGGACCTGACTTGGGCCCCAGCTAGTTTCTCTTCCTACTTGTAATCGGAAAGGTGTGGGTGGGACGAGCCCTGGTCACCAGCCTTGGACTTCGGCCTGAGCGCTGTGGCTCTCCTTGGCCCGGGTGAGGGGCCCTGGCCTTGGTTTCTGCTCTCATCTAACACTGCTCTCTGGCATTGGCTGGGGGCTGGGTCACCGCAGAGAAATAATACCTCTTCCCTCCCCCACCCCAGGGTTTTGTTGTTTTTTTTTTTTCTTTCCTCTTGTCCGGCCCCTTGCTGGAGCCGAAGATGAGGGATAAGGAAGCAGGAGACCAGCTGGGTTGTTTTGGAGACAATTTTTTGGAAGCATAAAATTCTCAGGTTTTGAAAGGGAAGAAATCCTGAGAAGGGGTCCCCGGTGGTAACAGTTTCTTGGGTGATCTGTGCTGTGGGCAGCAGCCATGCTTTGAGATCCATAGCTGGGAGCTGGGACCTTTCCTTCACGCCACGGGGGTCGGGGAGAGGGTCTTCTAATAGGCAGGAGAGTGTCTGATGGGCTCTAGAAGCAGAGCCACGCCTATTTGCCGCAGCCCTGTACCTGGTGTGGATCATCCTTGCCTTCCAGCCGCGGGTGGCAGCCCCAGCCCTTCAGAGCCACTCCTGGGCATGTGGGGCCACGTGTCCCAGCCCCTAACAGGGCTGCCCAAAGTGGGGAGACAATTGGGCTTCTTGCAGAGCGGGGCGGTAGGGGTGGGAAAGCCCCCAGCTCGGGCAGGCTCCTTCCATTCTGGGCCAGGCAGAGAGAACCCGGAGCAGCTGGAATGGCTACCCTCCTCCCCAGACTGTTCTCTGCCCTCGGTTCTTTCTCTTCCCTCTCCCCTGGCATTGCCTGGCCTTGGTAACCAGAAGCCCATCCTGTCTTCTCACGTTCCCTGAGCAGCTTCCTCGGGTGTCAGGACCAGGCTTCTCTGCCCGTGGGAGCCAAGGGCAGTGGCCCAAGCAGGGGGCTCGTGGGCCGGGGCTGGCAGCCCCACGTCTCCTTTGGAGGCAATGCAGAAGGGTCTCCGTTTGGCTTCCTAACCTTCCCTTTAGGCTTTGGACTTTTCCAGAATGTGCACGTTTTTCCTTCTCTACCTTCCTTCTTCCCTCCTCCCTTGGCCATCTCTCCTCTGTCATCATCACTTCGATTTCCCCTCCCCTTCTGCCTTTTTGGGGCTTGGCCTCAAGTTCCTTCCCCCTTTGATTTAAAAAAAAAAAAGAAAAAAAAAAACTTAAAGGACATTTTAGACCAGTTCTGATGTGACCAGTTCTTCTATTTGGGACGGGGTGGGGGTGGGCGGGTCACCGCTAGCTTGCCGGGGAAGCTCTGGAACCGGGATGCAGATGGTTTGCTCTCTTTGCTCTGGTTTTGAGGGCTCTCAGCTTCCAGGCTGGAGCCCTGCCGGAGACGCAGAGCCCCTTTCCCGATTGTAAAAGGAAGTAAAGGAGGGGGCGGTCGTCTGGGCACCAGGCAGGGTGGTGCCCTCTTGGCAACATTGGCAAAAACCAAGGAAAATCCATGTGTTTGCTGCCTCAAGCTAAATGTTGGGGCTCAGCCGCCTGCCCAGCTCCTCTGCAGGACACCAGTGCAGAAAAAGCTGGTCTGTGCCTCTCCCCTGCCCCACCCCCAAACCCAGCAAGCACCAAGGGCTCCCTGCCCCCACCTGGCCAGTCCCCAGAGTGGCCAGGACTGGAAAGTGTTAAAAGCTGCAGCAAAGCCCAGGGAAGCTGACTTGGGTCCCACAGCCCCTCCCCAGCCTTGGCCCATCCGGCCCCAAAGGAACAGAACAGAGTGGTGCCCTGTGCCTGCCCTGTGCACAGGGAAGTGGGGCGGCTGTCTGTGGCCCGACCAGAGTACCCGGAGTGATTCAGAGCGACCAGTTAGGAGAATTCCTGCCAGCTGCGTCCAAATAGGTGACACAGAAACTAGCCGAGAGCCCCAGACATCTTCCCTCTGTCCTACCCAAGGACTGGCCTGCTTCAGTTTGGAGCCTTCTAGAAATGCCTGATTAGGCCTCCAGGGCAAGTGCTCCCTTCACTCAGCCCCTGGGGCTCTCGGTGGCAGCAGTACAGCAGCTAAGCAGAGACAGGAACCCGCTGTGCTGGCTGGGCTGGGCTGGGCAGGAGCAGGACATCTCCCCACCCTTCGTGGCTCCCAAGCGCTAGGTCAAGATTGGAAGGCCTTGGGTCTGGGCAACTTAACTGGGCCCCGTGGCAGGCAGGCCCGGGTTTCCAGTCCACTCTAGTTCCCAGAGTCCTGAATCCCCACACTTCCTCCCAGAACCTGGCCTTCCTGCAGTCCGGAACCGCGGTGTGCAGCTCCTTAGCCCAGGGGCAGGGGATGTCCTGGGGAGCCAGCCTCACCAGGGGACCGCCGGACTGAGCCGGCAGGACGAGGGGACCCCCGCGGGTGAGCCCCGGGACTGACTGTGTCCTCCTCGCTTTTCCAGGCTGACCAGCTGACCGAGGAGCAGATCGCAGGTGAGCTTGCCTACCCGCCTCCTTGCCCTGCCCCAGGAAGGCCTGCGCATCCCCAGCCGGCTCTCACCCCGGCGGGAGTAGCCGCTGACCGCTGGACTCGTGTGGCCCCTGCCCCAGTGCTGGGTCCTGTGCTTAGATCGCTGGGGACCGTGTGTACAAGCACGCTGCCCCCAGGAACACCAGACAGACCCCCGTGGCCCTGAGCCGGGCACGCACCAGATGTCAGAGCTGTGTCCTCCTGGCTGCGGGCCATCGGGGGCCTCTTACTGCTTGGTGGCTGCGGGTAAACCAAGCTCTCGGTCCCAGCTCCCGCCGTTGGGCTCCGAAGGTGAGCCTCCCGGGGGGCTGCAGAGCTCCTGTCCCACTTCAGGAGCCATCCAGAGGATGGCTTGTCACTGCCCCCTCTGCACTTGGCCTGTGCTTTGCACTCCCCTTCACACATCTCGAGTCACTTTCCTCGGCCAGAGAGGACTCTCCCCCAGCTCCTGCCGTGAGCAGCTCCTTTGCATTCTCTGGGTCTCTGCTCCGATGTCACCTCGGAGAGGCCTTTCTTCCCTGCCCGGCCCGGACGGACAGCCTTCCTTTACCCTCTGGCCCGTCGCCCTGTGTATTGCCCTTGTGGCCCTTCTCACTGTCGGAAGTATTTCGTGTCTTCATCTGCTGTATCTCCTGTCACTAGACGTGAGCTCCTCGTTTTGGGGGCTGTTTCTGTTGGTCCCTGCTGTACCTTTAGTGCCTAGAATATAGTAGGAGCTCCGTAAATGTTTGTTGGCCATGTAGGTGAATAAAGGAAAGGCCGTATATCCCCCAGGAAGCCGGCAGAAGTCCTGGAATCCCATCTAATTCATTTTTGTAGCCACCTGGCCCATCCACCCCAGAAGGGTCACCACTACAGGAACTGCCGTGTCACTCCGTGGGCTTCTCGGTCTCCCTCTCCCAAGACCGTGTGCTGCTTAGGACAGAAGCCAGCTCTTGGTTTCTGCCCCCAGCCTTGGGCCAGCTCAGAGCAGACAGGCGGAAGGATTCACAGAATGGGCCCTGGGCCCCAGCAGCTCTCCAGCCCCAGGTTTGCTGTCAGGTCCAACAGGCTGCAGGCTAAGTGCCGAGTCCGGCGCCGACGCGGGAGGAGGCCGGAGTGGACTCGCCTTCTCTCCGTTCCTCCCTGCCCCCACTCCCACATGCAGTCACACCTCCTTCTTCTAAACTCTGGCCAAGGAGACCCATGGCGGAATGCTGGAGTACCGCCTGGTTGTGGAGTGATCATGAGCTCCGGGTCCTGCCCTCCACAAGAGGCCCAAGGCCTCAGTACAGAGAGGTGCCGGCATCCCCAAGGAGACTCCTGTCCCTGTGGCCCAGAGGCTCGGGAACACAGCTTCTGGGCTGTGTGTGCGTCTCCCGCCGCACCTGCCACCCACGCCTGGGCTCTGCCCTTACGTGACACAAACAGACTACGCTCCCCACCCTGTCCCCATTAGCAAACTGTCCACCACCTCACCCCAGCCCACACTCTCTGGGAATAGGCTGCCAGGCATCTGTTCTCCCAGGGTTTGGGGGTAGGGAGCACCCGGTGCCAAAATGGGCCCAGTGGGAGGGCAGCAGCCACGTGCTCCTCTCCCCGCGCCTGATGCGTCCCCAGCTGTGGCCTTCCCACTCAGCGCCACTCGCTCTTCATCCCAGCTTGGCAGCCGTCCCCTCTGCTTCCATCCCCCCGCCGCGCCGCCGCGCACCCACCCCCGATGCCACCGCACACAGCCACACACCGCCACTAGGTGCAGGGAACTGGCCCAGGAGGACCGCCCAAGGCATTCTGCAGCCTCCCCTGCCCCTCCCAGCCAGCTGACCTTGGCCAGCGTACCTCCCGTGGAGAGTTCTCTCTGCTCGGGTCCACTCCATGACAGCAGTCCGTTTCATCATTGGAGGGAGAGGCCAAAGCCAGGGACCAGAAAGAAACGTAGACTTCTCTGCGGACCCCTGTCAGCCTCTTTCCCCTTGGTCCTCACTGAGCTAGTTTGGCCAAAGTAGGTGCTTAATAAATGTTGACCAAAGAAAGGAAGGGGTCTGCCCCGAGCACCGGAGCGAGGGGCCTGGACTGGCAGGCTCCTGGCTCCTTCCGGGAGGACTCCTGGGGCCGCCTTTCACTGAGGCTTTCCCCGTGGTCCTTGACCTCCGATTCCTTCCCTCTCTTACCCCAGAGTTCAAGGAGGCCTTCTCCCTCTTTGACAAGGATGGAGACGGGACTATCACCACCAAGGAGTTGGGGACGGTGATGAGATCCCTGGGACAGAACCCCACTGAGGCGGAGCTACAGGACATGATCAACGAGGTGGACGCGGACGGTGAGCCCCGTGGGGTAGGGGGGTGGCCCCCTTTTCGGTCGCATCTCTGGACCATTGGGAGCCTCCCTTGGGGCGACGGATGAGCGTGCGTCCCCTCTGCCAGCGCTCTGGGGCAGTCTCCCAGGGTCCGGGCCAAGAACATTCCTGACTCCCCTGCCCACCTTCCAGGGAATGGGACCATTGACTTCCCGGAGTTCCTGACCATGATGGCCAGAAAGATGAAGGACACAGACAGCGAGGAGGAGATCCGAGAGGCGTTCCGTGTCTTTGACAAGGTAGGTACTCGTCTCCCACAGTAGCTCTAGGGCTCCGGCCCAGGGACAGACTGGGTGAGGCCCCGGGACGCCACTTCCCTGAGGCCTGGGTCCCAGTGCCGGCTCCGCTGCCTGCTTGCCCTGCGACCTCACCCCTTCCCCTGCTGGGTGGGGGTGCCCTGACGGTCCCCGACCAGCTCAGAGCCTTGCCCTGTCCCCACGCCCAGGACGGCAACGGCTACATCAGTGCTGCTGAGCTGCGTCACGTGATGACGAACCTGGGTGAGAAGCTGACCGACGAGGAGGTGGACGAGATGATCAGAGAGGCCGACATCGATGGGGACGGCCAGGTCAATTATGAAGGTAAGTGGCTGCTGGGAGCCGGGGGGGCGGGGGCGGTCTCCGGAGCAAGTCCGCGTCACAACATCAGGGCACTTGTGTCCGGGAGGGCCTCTGGCCTGGGCTGCTCGCCCGCTCTGACCCGCTCCTTCTGTTTCACTTCCCAGAGTTCGTACAGATGATGACCGCCAAGTGAAGGCCCCCGGGCAGCTGGCGATGCCCGTTCTCGTGCTCTCTCTCTTCTCGCGCGCGCGCTCTCTTCAACACTCCCCTGCGTTCCCCGGTTCTAGCAAACACCAGTTGATTGACTGAGAATCTGATAAAGCAACAAAAGATTTGTCCCAAGCTGCATGACTGCTCTTTCTCCCTCCTTGAGTCTCCTCCCAGGCCCCTCATCTCTGCCTCTTGCCCTCCCCCCTTTCCGTTCTCATCTTCCGAGGCCTGATGCACTCCTGGACGCAGCCCCCTTCCCCCGAGGGGAGCCTCTGTCCTCCTCCTCCAGCCCGGGTGGCTCTCCTCTCTTTTGGTTTGTTTCCTTTCATGTGTCCTCTGACTTTGGGTGCTGGGGTGGCTGCCGGCCCTGTCCCCGGCCCTGCTGGGGAGGGGATGAGGCCTCGCCCAGGCAGGAGAGCATGCCTTCCGCTGTTGCATGCGACCAGCCCTGTGATTCCCTGTGCACATCCCAGCAGCCTTTCGGGGCAGGGGTGCCGAGAGAGGCATTCCAGAAGGGCTGGGGCGGGGGGGGGGGAACTCGGGTCGCAGTGTGGACTGCATATGGTCCAGGATGGGGGCGAGGGAGTCTTGGAAGCTGGCATTCTTTTTCCCGCTGGAAGAGGCCGACTCCTGGAAGGGGACGGATAGAGTGGATGCCGCTCAGGTCCCACTGGCTGATGTGAGACCATCCAATCGGCTTCCTGGGGGGGGCCTGGGGGGTGCTGCTGAGATGGCCACTCTGCGAATTGTACATGCCCGTGTTCCTAAAGCGATCTCGAGCTGTTCTGTAAATACCTGGTGCTAACGTCCCATGCCACCCGCGCTGCCCCGTGCGACCCCCTCCCACCCTCCCCCACCCGGCGCCAAAGGCCCCTTGTTGCTGCGGAGCCAGGGATGTTGCTTTGTCCTGTACAGGTTCTCCTTTGGTTTTCTTCTTTATTCCCCTTAAAACTGATCCTGTTGAAAACCGTGCCGGGCTAGCTGGAGGGTGGAGAGAGGGAAGATGAGCCCGCCACACTCCGGAGAGGACACCCCTGCAATAAGACAGTCTTACGGGCCATCTGGCCCGGGACCGGTGGCCGAGGGCAGCTCCGCGGCCTGGTCAGCCGGCCCCTCCCGCTTCTCCGCGGTGACTCGGTTGGCTCCATAGCACCCGTGCTGGTCTCCGTGCCCTCTCTCCCCTCCCCCCACCCCCGCCTGCCCCCATACTCCCCCAGCATGATCCGTGACCTTGCTTCTGATTTTCGCCTCTGGGACAAGTAAGTCAATGTGGGCAGTTCGGTCGTCTGGATTCTTCTTTTCCTTTTTTCTGTTCATCTTGCCCCCCCCCCCACCCAGGTTGTTAAAGTGGCTTCTCCTGGGACCTGCCCAGCTTTGAGAACCTCCTCATCCACCCTCTGGCACCCAGCCTCCGGGGGAGAGGAGGGGAGGGGAGGGGAGGGACAGGGCGTCATGGGAGACCCAGCCAAGAGCTGAGGGGAAGGGCAGGTAGGCGTGAGGCTGTGGACGTTTTTGGAGTGTTTTGGTTTGGGTTTTCTTCTTTCTTTTTTTTTTTCTTTTTTTTTTTTTTTTTAAACCGGGCAATATTGTGTTCAGTTCAAGCTGTGAAGAAAAATATATATCAATGTTTTCCAATAAAATACAGTGACTACCTGACGTGGCTCTTCCCCGCTTGCCTCTGTTTCTGGGCCTGCTCCCTGCGTGGGCCCTGCAGCCCTGCCCTGGTAGGGCCTTTCCTGCACACAGCTCACTCCAGAGCCTTGTCCTGGTCAGGGCAGCAGAGGGGGACCTCTGGACTGGGCTTGTGATCCCAGCCGGATCTCGTGGTCCCTAAAGGCAGGAGCTGGCCTGGCTGCGCAGCCCGTCAGCTTTGGGTTGGGGGCGGGCCACAGGAGCGCGGAGGCCAGCCCCGGCCCATGTGTCAGTCACACGAATGAGTGCCTCATGAGGACTTCGGGGGCCTGGGGCCGGTTCGGGGCCACGAGAGCAGCCCAATAAGCTGAGACCTGAAGGCTGAGCATTCACATGATGGGCGGGAAGGGGGTCATCCAGGGGAACAGCAAGAAGGCAGACCCCGGCGGTGGGACCTGGGTTGGGGACTCTTCGGGCACTCTAGGGAAGGGGTGGCATTCACCCCTTCTGTCAAAGAGCCTGCACGCCCTGGGGCCCTGCACTCACAGAGCTTTAGCCCCCCAGAGGGCACGGGGACAGGGATTTGGAACAGAAAGCCCCTTAACTTCCCCTGCCACAAGTGGAGATGTGGAGAGGGCCTGGGGTCCTGTGGTACTGTAGGAAGGCATGGAACAGAATCCTTAGGGGCTTTTCCCAAAATAGAGGAGCCCCGCCTCCAACTGCAAATCCCAAGTGCTCACCCATTTCAGGGGTGCAAGGAATGAACAGTTCACGGACACCGTCTGGCCTGTGACCTGCTCGCACGTGGCTGCAGCGGCGGGGCTGGAGGGAAGCAGAGACCCAATCCAGTGGAATTAAAAAAAAAAAAAAAAAAACTTGCTTTCGCTCTTCACCCAGCTTTGGAAGGGTGGAGAAGCCCAGCAGCAGGGCCCGACCTCGGGGGCCTTCCTTGTGGCAGAGACCCTAGGCCAGCACTGGACTGATCCAGCGTGGGCCCATCGCTGGAGCCCAGTACGGTGGGTGGGGAAGTCGGGAGCGGCAGGCCGTTTCTCCAGTGCCCCAGCGTCTGTGCCCCCTCTTCCTACCACCTAGTTGTCTGCCTCTAGGTCTATCTACGTGAAGGAGGTGGAGTGTATGGATGAGAGCTCTGGGCCTGGGGCTGGCTCCGCGACCTCAGGCAGATGAGCCCGTCTGTAAAATGGGCACATGGGAGCACTTGCCCCCCGGGGCCGCTGAGGACTGAGGGAGCCCACAGGGACACGGGGGCACAGCAACCCCTGGCCGTTCTTCACTGAAGGCTCCCACTTCACAGGCGTGCTTCTCAGCTCTGCCTCCAGGACACTGTGACTCCAGAAGAGGAAATTGAGGCCCAGAAGAGTGAAGAGACTACCCCAAGGTCAGCGCGCTCTCCAACCCTCAGGGTCTCTCTCTGCCACTTCCTCCTTGATGACCTTGGGGCGGTGACTTCACCTCTCTGGGCCTCAGTTTACTGGTCTGCAAGATGGAGAATAATGACCCTATAGGAGGAAGATAAGAATACCCACTCGAGAGGATTGTGCTAACCACTTTCTAGACCTACCCCATTCAGTCGGCACGCAGGCCACGGAAGGTGAGCAGAGGCCTGAATTAAGTGTCGAGACCTGACAGTAAAGAACCGGAAGCCCCGGGCAGGTAATGCCTCTCACACCGCACTTCCGGGCAGCAGCCGAGCTGGGTCTCAAACCCTGGATCCTTCATATCCCAAGCGCCCCAGGCTGCCCACGCGGCTCTGGCTCCTATCATTAGTTTTCCCCCTGGGGCCCTGTGTTTTGAAAGACTTTTACTCCTGGACAGGCTGCTTTATTAAATAATCATGCCTTCTCTTTCCCATGCTTTATTAATCAAAGACACATAGACAGCACTCGGAGCTTCTAATGGACACGGGGCAGGCCCAGAGGGAGCTGATTCCAGCCCGGAGCAGGAGGCTGACAGTGGGAATCGTTTCCAATTCCGGCTCTCGGGTCCGCTGGACCAGCTCACACCTGTCCTCAGCGGGGACTAGCCGAGGGACACAGCGGGAGGTGCCCACCCAGGGTCCCCTCCCTCCTCCCCCACCCCCAGGGTAGTGGCCACTGGGACCATTTCTAAATGTCACTCCCTCTTTGACCAGCAGGTGGGGCAGCAGTGACTACTGAAGGCCACGGAGAGCTGGGACTCCTGGGGACCAGCCAGTCAGTCTATATGTGTGTGTGTGTGTGTGTGTGTGTGAGAGAGAGAGAGACAGACAGACAGACAGATGGTGCTTGAGTCCCATCTGTGGGCCAGGCCCAGTTCTAGGAAGTCCAAAATGAATAAAACGAATTATAAATGCACACATTCTCCTTAGCTTCCTAACGCCCGCTCCACACTAGGCAAACCCCTTGGCCAGGACCTCGGCACATAACCCAGCTCACAAATTTCTATTTTTTTCCCCTGCTTCTTGGAATACTTGGTTCTGTGATCACGAAGTTGTCATCCAACTGGAACGTGAGTGAGAGAGGGCCAAGACAGTGTCAGTCACTGCTGTATCCCCAGCAGGCGCAGAGCAGCCTTGGGCCCCAAGCAGATTCCAGGGAATCTGTTGAGTTAATGAAGGAGCAGGAGGCTAGGAGGCCAGAGTCAGAACTGTGAGCACAACAAAACATCCCTCTTTCCCAGGCTCTCTTTCTTCCAGTCCTCGGGCCCTGCTCAGCCATCGCCTCCTCCAGGAAGCCCTCCCCGATGTCCCCTTAGATCGCACCCCATCCCACCCCCATTTCACAGCTCTGCCCACTCTGGACTCCGAGCCCCAGGAGAGCAGGGCCAGGGCTGTCTCTGTCACTGCCATGTCCCCAGCATCATGAACTAAGAGAGGAGTTTCCAAATCATCCCAGAGGGGCTGTGTGGAGATAGATGGGCCAGGAAATGCTTGCAAACCCCGGACCTGGTAGATGGGTGTACACACCCAGGCCAGAGGCAGTGGTGGTCTGCAGAGGGCAGAGGGATTCTTGAGATGTTAGGCCTGGAGGGAAAAAGCTAGCAGAAAACCAGCTTCCGTGCTGAAGCCTCACTAACCCCTTAAACCGAATCTGAAAAAATGGAGATGATAATAGTGCCTACCCCGGGCTTGGATGCCGTGGGATGGAATGCCCAGCCCTGCGCGGTCATCACTTAGTGAGCCCTAAGAGGCTGGAGAGACAGACTGACCCACTTTCTGGGACAGCACCAAGCGTGGAGGCGAGCGCCCCCTGGCGGTCTTGCCTGGACAGGCAGGCAGGCCCCCTATCCTGAGCCTCCCTCCCCAAATACCGCTCTGGGGGCCCCTCCGCCCACGCCATCCTTTTCCCATCACCCTCTGGGGAGCCTTCTGGGTTGGTCCCCACCGAGGCTGGGCCAGGTTTGGTGACAAAGGCAGGACTCCACCTGATGCTTCTTGCCCTGTTTGGGTTTTGAACAGGTCAACTCTTTTCATTACCAAATTCAACCAATACGTCATTCTGGCAAGACTCATAAATGTTTCTAAACACCCTCATTTTTTTTTTTTAGTGTTACATTTTATTTTTATTGTGGCAAAATACCCATGACATAGAATAAACTATTCGAACGTGTACAATTCAGACATTTAGTACATTCACAATCTTATGCAACCCTCAGCACTATTGGTTTCCAGAACATTTTCATCACCCCAAAAGGAAACCCATACCCCATAAACCAGTTATCCTGACCAATCTTTAACTCTCCCCAGACACCCCCTTGTTCTTCTGTAATGTGATTTGAATCATAGCGGTGGAAAGACCCATGGAGGGAAATGTTGTTTTTTTCAGCCCACATTTGCCCAGCTAGCCACACACAACAGCAGCAACAACAGGATTGCAGTAACTGTAACATTTTTGTGGTATTTATTCCAGTCAGGCCCAGTGCTCAGCTGCTTATCAGAGGCAATCAGTTAATCCTCCGCACTACCCTATAAACTGAATTCTAGATTACTGATCGATTGCGGTTCTGCACCAAAGGAGGGTGAGGCGCAGAGAGGCAAAGTTGGTAAGCAAACAAGGGAGCTGGCTTCTGGAGACAGAAAGGTCAGCTTCCCACTGAGACTTCCTCCTTGCTGTGTGACCTAGGGCTGGCGATTACCCTCTCTGGACCTTGATTCCAGGGTCTGTGGAAAGGCTCCAATGACAGCAGGGCTGAGGTGCTGTTATCTCTCCAGAGGCCCATGCCTCCCTACCCGGCCTGTCTGCAGGTTCACATTTACCCTTTTAACCCCAGATCAAGTGCTTTCAACCCTGGAACAACCTCAAAGGGGAACTGGGTGGGGTTGGGGGGAGAAAAGGGCTTTCCCATTTCCCGTAAACACCACTTCCCTTCCGCCAGTTGGCTCCCTCCTGAGCACCCTTGATCTTGGGCCTCTCTTTAGGGCAGGAGAAGCCTGAAGGCTGGAAATCACCCCAGCAGAGTCCAGGCTGGGGCAGGGACTGGTCTGTCGGGCTGCTCGCTGTTGAATGAATGAATGAGCTTTTTGCGAGGGCTCTGAGAATGCAGGAGGTAAGGGCAGGCTTTGTAGGTAAGCCACAGCTACTCATCCAGAGACGGGCTATGTCCCCTGCGGGGGACCCCGGGATCCCTAACCCCCATGCCTTTGTCCTCCAGCTTCTCCATCCCCCCACCAACACACACACACCCGGGCTCCCACGGTCCACATCTTACGGCCCACCGAGGTACGCGTCCAGCCATGCTCCTTGCAATGCAGCAGTCTCTCCTTCCTCTGGCCTCCCCCTTGGAGGGTGAGGGCGGGGGCTTCCAAGTCTGATGGGAAATCAGGAGTGAGGGGAGGCCGGGAGCTGGTCCAGGAGTCGCTGGGTCCCAGGAGGCAGAGGGTCTGGCTTTTAGAGCGGCTTGGGAGAGGACCTGCGCTGTTTGTGGGGGCTTGGGGTGCGCAGCCCGGCACCCTGAACTGGTGTGTGTCAGAGCCGGAAGCCAAACCAGAGCCGACCTGAATGCACAGCAGCTTCTGGGAAACTTTTCTGCCTTCTAAATATTTAGACAGTGAGATGGATGGGCAAGCGAGGACCAGACTGGGCTGGCTGGGCCCGGGGTTATTTTGAGAGAAGTGTTCTTTTTTGCTCCAGGACAGTCCCCGTCTCCCTCCCTCTTCTCCCAGAGCCTGTCGAGAAGGAGAAACAGGGAAATAGCAGCTGATTGCCCCCCCTGCGTTCAGGGGGGTCAGGATTCCGGCAGGCAAGGACTCCGGGGGCTCACTTCCGCTCATCCACAGATAGCCACGGCCCTGAGCGTCGGGCTCCGGCTCCCAGCAGCCGGGGGCAGGAGATCACAGGCAGCCGATGTCAGCAGAGGGAGCAGCCGGCTGCCGACCCCATTTTGGTTGATGTACCCACAGTGCTGCCAGCTCGCTGCACCTGGGGCCCGGGTGCCCCCGGCCCCTCGCCCCAGGCTGACAAAGGTACCCGGCTCCCCTCCTTCCCCCTGGGAGTGGCGGGAGCCCTTGAGTCCTTCCTCCCAGAGACGGACCGGGAGTGGGGTGCCTGCGAGTTGCCGTGGGTAGGCCTGGGACCCAGGCAGCAGAACCACAGCCTGAGCCTCTGGAAGACAGCCTTGCGGAAGAGGATGAAGACCCAGGGGTCCAGGATGGGGTTGAAGGCGTTGAATCGGAAGGCACGGAGGTCCCCCATCTCACTGCTGTCTGGGGCGATGGCCTGCGTGAAGCCTCGGATCTGGGGACAGGGCGGGGGCGTCAGGAAGCACCCCCGAATCCTCTGCCCCCCACCAAACACCCACCCCGCCCTCACTCCCCTCCTTCCATGCGCTTCCTGGCAGCAATGAGGGAGGGGTTCCCTGCCGCAGGGGCAGGAAATAAGATATGACGAAAGTAAGTGAGAAATGCATCTGGGGAGCAAAGGGAGAGAAAACCCCAGGAAACCACCAGCCTAGAGGTCGGAGGTCGTGGGGCTAAGGCCTGGGGCTACAGCTGTGTGGCTCTCCACGTTCCCAGCCTGTGAGTCATCTGTAATCCCCCCAAAGTTTTGAGGACCAGCTCTGGCATTTTACAGAAAGAAAAGCCGAGGCGCAGAGTACAGGGCAGGGGAAAGGTGGGAAGGATGATTACAGGGGGCTCCCCTGATCCAATTCCTGGGAGGCAGGCAGGAGCTCTGCCCGAAAAGGGCAAGGCCCAGAGAGCCCCTGGCAGAGGTGGGGGGTGAGGGCGGGGCTGGGAGGTTGGGGGGAAATCAGACTCTGGAATCAGACGAGCCTGAGGTCCAGACCTGGCTCTGTGTAACTGTGGACAAGCCCCATCACCCTCCGTCTGTAAAAACAATGACGGGACAGGAACTTGGTTCCACTCCTTGCCAAGTGCTTGTGGAAGGGGTACCTAAGGTCATCTGAAGACGATCTGAGAGAGAATTTGTGAACCGCAGGGCACAGGGCAGACACAGAACCACAGTTCCAGAATGGGAGGATCTGATTATCTTATGACCATTACAGGGGGTGGGGGAAGGTTGGGGTGTGTTTGGGGGGGTTGCCGCAGATAAGAAAGGGGCGAGCCAAGGGCTTGGGAGGGGAGACACCTCTCCAGAAAGTTGGGAGCTATCTGACCGCGCCCAAAGCCTCTGAGCTCTTGGGACCCCGGCGTCCCCGTCTGGGAACTAGACTACCCCACTGGCAGACCTAGCTGGGGGCTGCCCTCCTCCCTCCTCCCTCCACCCCCCCGCCGGACCCCCTTCCCCCACCCCAGCCACCAGGGGGACTCACCGTGAGGGGCAGGGAGCACACGGCCATGATGACCGTCATGAGGGCCAGCAGAATGAGGTGGTCCACCTCGTCCTCTCCCGCCCGGGGCCCGGGGACCGGGGGGCCCTGGTGGCGCATCTGCTGGCGGTGCATGCGACAGAGGCTCAGGGTGACGGAGCTGTTGCACAGCACGATGGCGGCCACCAGCAGGGCCATGAGGCTGGCATAGGCCAGTGAGAAGGCGCGGCCACCGGCCTCCGTGGAGCGCATGCGGATGAAGCACCAGCTTCCCGGGCAGTACTGCTGGTGCTGGCCCAGGCCCAGCAGGGGCAGCGCGCAGAAGAGGCCGCAGAAGGCATAGACGGCAGGCAGGGCCAGGCGGGCGCAGCGTGGCCCGTCCAGCTGTGTGTACACGTAGGGGTGGCTGAGCGCCAGACAGCGCTCCACGGCCATGGCAAAGAGGATGAGCATGGAGGCCAGGCCGAAGAAGGTCATGGCGAAGGCGAAGGCGTCGCACAGGGCGGGCCGGCCCCGGGCCAGGCCCAGCAGTGAGCTGTTGCGGGCGTAGGCCACGAACACGGCCGGGCTCAGGAAGCAAGTGCCCAGCAGGTCGGTGACCGCCAGCCCAGTGACCAGCACAGCGAAGGCCGAGGGACGTGAGCGTCGCCGCGCCCCCAAGATGCCCAGGGCCAGCCCGTTGCCCACCACGCCCGCCACGAACATCAGGGTGCTGGTGGCCGGGCCCACCGAGTCCCGCACGTAGGTGAGGTTCCTGCACGAGTCGGCCATCCCCCCACGCCCCACGGCCTCTGTGCGGACTGGACTAGCGAGGTCCCCGGGGCGCAGGTGGGGGTGAGGGAGAGGGGGAGCTCAGACGCCCACCGCCCTCCCCATGGGCCACCCCTTCTCCTTGTGTGTGCGGCTGGCTGGCCGGCTCTCTGCCTCTCTCCTCCTCTCTCCTTCGTCCTTCCCTCTCCCTAGCTCTGTCCTTCTCCCCCACTTGCCCACCACCCTGTCTCTCCTTCTGCCTCTCCCTCTCTCCCCGAAGAGGCCCTCTACCTGCTCTCACCACACCTCTGCCTTCTCGCTCAGTCCCTTCCTCTGTGCCCTGCTCTCCGGTCTGCTGGCTCTACCGGTCTCTGCCTCTTTGAGAAAGCTGCTCCTTACTTCCCTCCCTCCTCCCTCCTCCCTTCTCATCTAGCCTGCTCGCCCCAGCTTTTTCATTTCCTCTGACTGCCCCGCCTTCTCTCCCCTTGCCTGTTCCAGAGGGCCCCCCCCTGCTTCCTCCCCCCTTCCCTGGCCCGCTCCCTCCAATTCTCCTGCCCAGTGCAGCCCAGTCCACTCTCCTTCCCTCCCTGCTTCCTCTCCTGGTCTCATTCCCTGAGCCACCTGCCGCTTCCCCACACCTTGGTCTCTGCCCTTCTCTGCCCCTCCCCAGCATCTCGGGCCGCATGGGGATCCCTGAGTCATTGCACCCTGGAGCACACCAAGACCTGAGGGGCACAGCTGGCCAGTCCTAGAGGCTGTCTGGGGTGGCCTCTGGGATCTATTCTGGGCTTCAGGCCCCGGAGTTAGGACATTGCCCAGGGATTGAGAAATGACTAGGAAATTCTTCCCCGATGTAGTGTTTTTCAGCCACTCCTGAGATTTTTGCTTCCCCAGATACAATTCGCTCCTTCCAGAAGGCCGGGAAAGAGATGGTGGGGCTCGAGAAAGAACGCCAGTCCCTAGAGTTTGTCCTAGGGTGCAAGCCTATCGACCCGGGCCGAGTCTTGGGGAGACAGATTCCGGGGAGGAGGGCTTTGGTGTCCAGTAGTCTGCCGGGGACAGGCCCCGGGACTTCCAAGAGTATCAGAGGGGCGTGCCCTCCCACCCTCTTGCTTCTCGCTCCAGCAAGCCTAGGCCCCAGGCCAAGCCCCGGAAACCTTGACTTCCAGGAATAATATTTTAATATTTTGGCCACAGACAGCCATTCAGGACTCCAAGATCACTGTCATGTCCAATTCTCCCACACCTCCCCAAACACACCCCAGCCACCACCCCCGGGCCCGTGTGCTCAGCCCTCATGTCCCTGCTGCCCACACAGTGGTCACAGCCCCGGGCCCCACGGAGTCAATGGCTTCCCATGCAACCTCCCCACCCAGAAGGGCCAGAGCCCCTCTCAGACGCCCCTTATTTCTGAGGGAGGCAGTTTAAGTGGAGAGATTACAAACTCGGGGGCTCATTCATTTGACGTGAGTTCCTGTCCCCGTCCCACTACCTCTTTGCAGCGTGATGACCTGGGTGAGAACGAGAAGCCGGTGTGCCTCAGTTTCCTCATCTGTACAATGGGGTAACCCCAGCTTCATGGGCCAGGCAGCCGGCCATGGCCAGTGGCCCATGCCAGAGCCCTCTCTGTGACAAGAAGCACGCGGGCACACATGTGTCACGTCTGAGCCCTGGAGGGGATGTTCCCGATGCCAAGGCTGGACACTGGGTAGCTGCAGACTTCCCCTTTCTGCACCCAAGCCCCTCGGTGACCACAAGTGCCTCACCCCTTTCCCCCTCTCCCTATCATCCATGCACAGCAGCACCCCAGCTTCCGGCCTCAGCTCCAGCCACACCAGGGGCTTGGGGAGGTGCCTGGAGGGCATGGGCCTCGGGCCTCCTGGCTCTGTGGCTCCCCCCACTGCCCTGGTTTCTGCAATCCCCAGGCAGACCAGCGGGAACTCAGGAAGTTATATGATATTAATGAGGGATGATGTCTGGCGGGCTTATGTCCTGTGGCAGCATCAGGGGAGTTGGGGGGGCGGGGCAGCTCTGGCTCCTGGAGCCTCCCTCCCCCTGGCTTCCTGTCCCCACCAGGGACCGATGAGCACTCAGGAAGTCCACTCGGCTCCCAGGCCCAGTGTAGCCTGGCCTCTGGCACCCTGCCCCCCTCCAGGCCTCCGTTTATCCACCTGTACCCCTGGGGGCCAGGAGGGCCCGCATCCCTGCCGTCCGTCATATGCTCCGGGGCAGGTGGGGGAGCCAGCGACTCTAATGAGAGGTCCCCAAGGCTGATTTCAGTGCTGGAACCCCTCCACTCATTTTCCAGAACCCTGGCATCCTGCCCATCTGTGACCACACCCACAGCCAGGGCCACAAAAGTTCCTCTTCCCTCAGGTGTCTTGGGGGTGAGAAGTCACTCCAGCTGGGCTCTGAGGGGGCAGCTTCCAGGACTGGGAGTGGGGGGGGGGAGTGTGGGAAGGAACAGCTCTGGGAGGGTGAATCAGCCTCCCTTCTCTCCCACGGCTTGAACAGGACTCAGGAATCCCCAGAAGGACTGTGGACAGGGGCAGAGGAAGGATGGCGGCCCAGGGACAACCGGGAATGGCTGGCACAGTACCTGGGAGGGGAAGATGGGCACCAGGGAGGGGGCATGCAAGGGGCTGTGGCGGACACGTGAACTTCAGGCGTGGGTCTGTGTGACATTAGTGGGGCCTGCGGAACTGAAGTGAGCATTTTTTTTAAATATTTTTCTTGGGGCGTCTGGGTGGCTCAGTCATTAAACGTCTGCCTTCAGCTCAGGTCATGATCCCTCCACTCGGGTGGAGCCCTGCATCTGGCTCCCTGCCTAGCTGGAGGTCTGCTCCTCCCTCTCCCACTCCCCAGGCTTGTGTTCCCTCTCTCACTGTGTGTCTCTCTCTGCCAAATAATTAATAAAATCTAAAAAAATATATTTATTTATTGGGGCACCTGGGTGGCTCAGTCGATAAGTGTCTGCCTTGGGCTCAGGTCATAAACCAAGGGTCCTGGGATCGAGCCCCACATGGGGCTCCCTGCTCTGCGGGAAGGCTGCGTCTCTCTCTCCTACTACCCCTGTTTGTGTTCCCTCTCTTGCTGTGTCTCTGTTCAATAAATAAAATCTTTTAAAAAATATTTTATCTATCTATCTATCTATCTATCTATCCGAGGTGGGGGGAGGAGCAGAAGGAGAGGGACAAGCAGACTCCCCGTTGAGTGTGGAGCCCAACATGGGGCTCAATCCCATGAACCCCAGAGATCATGACTTGAGCTGAAACCAAGAGTCAAACGCCCAACCGAGTGAGCCACCCAGGCGCCCCCCACCGGCGATTTTAGACAGCACCGTGAATGTGCGTGCTTGTGGGCACCGTGGCTGTGAGTGGGCATGATTTTCTCGACTACCTATTTGTATGTCTGTGTTCCTTTGTCCACCTCGTTGTGGGTCTGTGCGTGCGTGGTTATACTGTGGGCCCATGGGCTTCTTTATGGCTGTGTCTCCGTGTGTGTGTGTGTGTGTGTGTGTATGTGTGTTTGCACGGAGGGACTGCCTGGCACAGGGGGAAGAGAGCAGCTTTGGAAGCACCCCTCCTGCCCCTCACCAGTCACTTGCTGTGTTGTGAGACTCTGGACAACAACTTCCCCGGCTCAGCCTGGATGTTCTTTGTGGCGTGGCTGCCTTGCCCCTGTTGGGGGTGTGGTGCGAAGATTAGGGACCGAGTGGCCCCTGCCTGCCTCCAGGAAGCCCTCAAACCAGCTGCTGGCGCTGTTACTATTCGTTCGACAAACTCTCACCCACTTCCAGGGTGCTGAGGGTGGGGGGTGCAGAGGGGCTCTGAGGGCACCATCTGATGGACGCGTGTTCCCAAGTGGCAAGGAAGGGCAGAGCAGGAGCCTGAGCTCAGAAATCCTCCACTGAGTCATCCGCAGCCCTGGGCCTCTCCCACGCCTACTTGCTGGCCAGTGCCTCCAGCTGCCTGCCCAGGCCCCCCTCCAGACCTGCCCCTGAGCTAAGACCCTGCTCACCAGGGGCCTGACCTTCTGACTCCCTGGTGTCCTGACCCTGCCCTGGGAAGAGGTTGGCCCCACCTCGTACCCCTCCCCGCCCACACACACACTAAGGAGCGCAGGCGCTCCCGCACATCCCATCTCCTTCTCACACCTGTGAAGCCTACCTGTCTACCTGTGTCCTTCCACTGCTGCAGGAAGTTGCTGTGTGACCATCCTGACCTGTCCCTCATTGCCAGATGCCAAAGCCTTCAGACAGAGGCCATTTGTCTCTGCCCACCACCCTCTCCTACACCCCAAATGGGCCCTTGCCAGCCTCTGCTTCTCATCCCTGCTCCAAGAGGCTCTACTCTTGCCATCCCCACCCTGCCTTTGCCTGGGCTGGGCCCCTCCTCTGAGATACCCTCACTTCTGTCCTTCAGGCCCCCCTCCAACACCTCCAATCCCTCCTAAACCCTCATCCATCAGGGTCCACTCCAACCTCAAGCCCCAACTGGCCAGGTGCTGTCACTTCCCTGTGCCTGATTCCATGCCTATAAAATGGGGGTAAACAGAGTCCTTTGGGGGGGTCATCTGAGAATTAAGTGAGGTGGGGCTTCAGAAACGGGACTCTAATAAGTGATGGCCATAGTTGTGACTCGGGGCCACCCCTCCCCTAACCCCCCGCAGCAGAGCCCAGCACGGCTCAGAGCATGTGGAGTGCAAAGGGCAGACAGCTGCTGGGAGGGGCAGCCTAGCGCCCTTCAGGGTTTGGGGTGAAGTGGGACGGGACTGCTAGCAGCAAGCACTTCCTCAGGTGGTGCCCTCTCTGCCTCTTGGCCTGGCTCCGACCCCAGAGCTGATCTCACAGGGGAGGCTGGCCGGAAAGAGCAGCGGGTAACCAGAAGCTGGTACTACAGTCATACCCGCTAACAAGATTACCCAGGCTTGCATGCGTGGATGCTGGTCACCCAGGACCTGCCCTGTCTAGCTCATCCAGCATCTGCCCCCACCCCCGCCTCCCTCCCACACCTCCTCCAGGTAGACCTCCATCCTGTCAGCCCTCCCTTCATCCAGCCCCCTTGCTTCTTTTGACTTCCATTCCCCAAGACCAGGAATGTAAAGGAGGAAGGATCCACAATACACAGTCCCACGATTTCAGCTCTAAAAGGATCTAAATCCCAACAGTCTAGGCTCAGGAAATCCTTACATTCCTGAAGTTGCAGAGCTCTGGGTCCCAGCCGGACAAAGGAACAAGATTCTGGCCCCACAGGGTCGAAATACTCCAGAATTCCAGCCCTCTGAGGTCCGCAATTCTAGATTCCTCTGCATCTCAGGTTCTAGGATGTAAGGATGCTGTGTCTGAGAAATTCCAGAATCCTCTGGCAACTTCCCTCCCAATAACCCTACTCCCCAGCTCCACTCCGCCCCCCAGCTCATCCTTGGCTCTCTCTGTCCCCAGTGTCCCCCGGGGCTCCCACAGACATGATGCAAGTTGGCCTGGAGCCAGCTGAGAGGGGTGGGAGGCAGGAGGGAGATGTAATTACAGCTGGTCCTGCCTCAACCCAACAGGAAGCTCAGAGTTGGGGCCCAGGGGACTCTAACCCAATGTGAATAATGGAGCACTCACCAGAAACACACACGGCCCAGTGAGCCAGCTCCATCCAGATTCTCAGGGGTCTGGTCCCCATTAGCTCCAGGCTGGGGAACACAGGTGTTATTCCGGAGAAAAGAGTAAGTGGGGATGAGAAGACGGGAGGGGGTCTCTAACCCCGTGGCCCTCCAGCCAACCTGGTAAAATAACTGACCAAACCCACAGCTCACCCAATCTACATCTCATTTCCTTTTAAGATTTTTTAATGTATTTCTTTGAGGGAGAGAGAGCACAAGCAGGGGGGAGCAGCAGGAGGAGAGAGAAGCAATCTTCCTGCTGAGCAGGGAGCCTCATGTGGGACTCGATCCCAGGACCCCAGGATCATGACCTGAGCGGAAGGCAGACGCCCAACCGACTGAGCCACCCAGGCACCCCTTCATCTCATTTCAGCAGACATTCAGGATGTGATACATTCCACTCTAAGAAGCCCCTGACTCAGGCTCCTTGAAAAATAACACCCAGCACTGAGGCTTCTTCAGCAGGAGATGTTGGGGCATGGTGTTGCCTTTGGAGAGCTGAAAAGCCCAGGTCCCACCTCCCAGTCTCTGGTCACCCTGAGGAGGATACGGGTCTGAGATCATCCACAATTCCACTTTGGGAGAAGCTGGAAATAAGGACTTTTAAGCAAAGGACTCTTATTTTTCCATTGGGTCACTAAGTCAAGAACATTTTTAAAACATTATGTAGGCCAAAAGTAAAGAACCAAAAATAAATGAATAAATAAAAGATGAAATAAATAGAACTGCAGGCTAGAAATGTCCTGAGGGCCACCCATGTGTGAACTGAGAAACACAGGGCAGGAACCAGAGCTGTCACAGTCCTCCCTGTGTCCTCAGGACAAAGAAATAACTGTTGAAGGAAAGAATAGTACATATTAATTTGTCTCCTCCCCTTCTAGCCATGTTTCTCTCTCCTCCTGGTCCCCAGGTTGTAAGATTTTTTAAAAGATTATTTATTTATTTATTTATTTGACACGGAGAGAGAGAAAGACAGCACAAGCAGGGGAAGCAGGGGAGGGAGAAGCAGGTTTCCCACTGAGCAGGGAGCCCAATGTGGGGCTTGATCCCAGGACCCTGGGATCATGACCTGAGCTGAAGACAGACCTTAACCGACTGAGCCACCCAGGCGCCACTCCTGGTCCCCAAGTTTTATTATCACCCTGTCTCAGCTCAGATGTCCCCTCCTCCAGGAAGTCCTCCTTGGTTCCTAAGCTGAGTCAAGTATACCCTCTGAGCTCCCCCACCCCAGCCCTGCCAGCTCGGGGTCACCATTATCTTGGGGATAGGTCTGTCTCCCTCCCAAGGGTTTCTGGGCCCCAAGAGGGCAAGGCCAGGGCTGTCTCAGTCACAACCAGGTTCCTAGCTTCACCCAACGAGACTGGTCGCACAGCAGCTACCACAGAAATGAATGAACAGCAAACAAGAGATCAGTGCTAAGGACAGAGGTAAGCCTGCGGCAGGGGTTGGTCATTCAGGGAGGTGAGAAAGGGGTGACGGGCACAGGGACTCCTAAAAATCTACAGCCCAAGAGAGGAGAGAGGCCAGTTCAGGGGTTCGGAGATTCAGCGCTGGAGGCCATGGTCCTCACCCCATTACCTCCTAGCTCTGTGACTTGGAATAAGGGACCTCCTTTGGCTCCTCATCTGCAACATGGGTACTATACAAGCAGCCAGCTGCCTTCTGGGGCTATGGAAATGATTAAATAAATTCAGGATCGTGGAGTGCTCTGTGGAGGTCAGAGCCCAGAGAGCGCATTTCCTCCGGCGCAAGCCTCGCGCCCACACACCACGCCCCACACACCCTGCGAATCCTCGCCCCCCAACACACTCCACACACACTCAGAAGAGATGAGAGGGGACGCGGGTTCCTCCATGACGGTCCCAAGCTCTGGGCGTGCCTCACTTTCCCCCAAAGCACGGGTCCCACCACAGTCACCACGTTTATTGGATCCATAGTTTGGCGGGGGAGGGTAAGCGGTCAGGAAGACTCAGAGCAGTACGCAAAACAGGCGCTTGTCGCGGAAGGGGTTCTCCGCGGCGGGTACCGGCGTCACCAGCGGGTCGTCCTTGGCGTGCGTCTCGCAGAAGGCGAGGAGTTCGGCCGCCGCCTGCGACACCTGGGGGCACCCGCGTGATGTCCGTCAGTCGGCCGCCCAAGGCCCCGCCTCTTGCTCGGGCACGCCCCCAACCCCCTCCCCGGGCCCGGCTCCGCCCCCTTCGTGACCACGCCCCCTGCCCGAGTCCCGTCCCCGGGTCCAGCCCAGTTCCGAAGGGAATCTTCCCACGGGCCCCACCCCGGCGGCGCCGGGTCCAGACCCCAGCCCCCGAGCCCACGCCTTCCTCCCCACCTCCACCCCGCACCTTCATGCGGTCGATGTTCACCTCCAGCTTCAGCTGTTCCACCGTCTTGCGGGCCTCCGCGATCTTGGCCATGTTGTTGGACATGGCTGAGGGCGGGGAAGAGTTTAAAAGCCGGGCGGGAGTGGGGGGCCGAGAGGGATAGACTGGGGCAAGTCTGAGTCCCCAGGTAAGAGTGGCAGTGATAGTGGGACCCGGCGACAGGCTTGTGGATGGAAGAGCGTATGGAGGGAGGGACAGGAAAACAGAGAAAGAGGAATGAGGAGACGTACAGATGGGAGACCAAGAGGCAGGCCAAAGGAGGGACAGAGGTACAGGGAGGAGAGGGGCATGGGAAGATGGTGGAGGGGTACATAGGATGGGGTACCTAGAGGCAGGTGGAGGGAGGGACAGGAGAACAGGGCCACAGGTGCTGGATCGGGATCCAGGTGTCCTCAGCCCCCTGGCGGATAGAGCAGGAGCCAGGAGGGGGGCCCTCCCCAGGCCAATTAGCGGTGGCTCCAGGGAGAACATGGAATTAAGATCGCGGCGGGAAAGGCGCAGAGGGGGCCTCATTAGGGCCTTGGCAGCAGCTGCCCCCTTCGGCCCCCTTGGGGAGCTTCCCCCACCCCAGCCCTGGCCACCTCAAAGGCTCCTCTGCTCATTAGCAGCCAGAGAGAGGGCTGGGGGAGGAGGGAGGGCGGGTAACCCAGGCACGACTGGGAGAGGGGCAGAGAGGATGGAGGGACAAATGGAGGGTCGGAGAGAGAGGACTAAGTGACAGAGGGATAGACTGAGGCCCAGAAGAAATAGACTGGGCAGCGGGGGGAGAGACGAAGGGATGGAACCACGAAAGGAGTAGAGGGAGGGGAGGACAGATAGGGCTGTAAAGAAAGGGACAGGTTGATCCAGGGGGACAAAGGGACAGAGCGGGGACAGAGAAAGGGAGGTGGAGGGTCTTGGAGGGATGGAGTAAGGGGGTGGGAAAGGAGAGAGAGATGGACAAATGGAGGGGCAGAGTGAGGCACAGTAGGGATAAAGGGACAGAGGAGAGAAGGGACAGGGGAATGGAGAGAGGGAGCCATTGGAGGGGCTGGGGGAGAGACAGACTGGTGGAGACGCAGAAGTAGAAAGTCATTCATTCGCTCACTCATTCGTTCATTTCCAGGCAGACAGACCGAGGCTGCAATCGGGCAGAGGAATTAGCTGTGCGGTGGAGATCCAAGCCTCCTACCTGTTGCTGCTTCCGGGCTAGGATGGCGGGCAGGTGGCGGTGGCTGGGAGAAAGCGTCTGGGTCCCCCCCACCCCCAGTCCCGCCCCACCCCCTCCCCCGGGGCTTAGCCCCTGAGGGCCCGCCTCCTCCTGCTGCCACTGCCGCTGTCCTCAGCGCCCTGGCTGCCTCAGGTCTGTCTCTATGGGTCCCCTCTGTCTGTCCCCTTCTTTGTCTTTCTATTTCTGTGTCTCTGTCGCTCCTGTTCTGGGTGTCTCTTGCTTTTCCCCTTTCTCTCTCCCAATCTCCCCTCTCAGTCTCTGCCTCTGCCTCAGTCTCTGTCCCTCTGGAACACACACTCACACACGCGCGCACGCACACACACACACTCTCTCTCTGTCTCAGGAAAAGACAGTCTCTCCCAGTGTGCCCCACACCCTGTCCTTATTCCACATCACAAAAACCTCTCCTGGGAGTCCTGCTCAGCCTGTCACTCCATCACATGTGCTTTCCCACCCAGTCACTCCTGCCACCTGTGTCACCCCACCCCAGCCCCTCACACAGAGATGCACACTACCTATCTCACAACCAACCCACACGCTCCACACACAGGGTCCTACGGTGCTACAGCCACTGAGCCCCTCAAACTGCCACAAAGCGTCCATGCCACCTCGCACGAGCACAGATATCCTATCTTAGACTGTCCCGTGTGCGAACAGAATTTCACCCAGTGTCACGCGCAATCTCTCGAGACGTCCATCACACACATTCGCAGGCAGCTGAAACTTGGGTCTCATACCTGACAGCAACTTCCGCCACACTTTTTATCAGGGTCTCACACGGTGACATGGAATTACTCACATGACATCTTTGGGAGCACTGTCACACAACCACATTCTGTGGTGTTACATGGTGACACACAGTCACACGTGCAGTGACCCCCCCCACACATACAGTCACGCTTGCTCTTGCACAATCTGCTGGTGTCACACACAGTCTCACACAGTCCCTCACAGAGTGTCCCCTCCACACACTGTCACGCACACAAGCTCCTGCTAAGCCTTGCGCAGTCCACACCGGACACAGCCGTCCCCAACTTCACCCTGCAGTCTCGTGTGGCGCACACATTTACAGGCACAAGATCTCGCTCATCTTCTCATCTCCAAGGGCCCCACACAGTGACACACGCCCTCATACGCTGTCACAACACTGTGACAGTCTTTCACTATCCCACACGATCTGTGCCACACAGAGTCATACAGTTTCTCACAGTCCGTCAATGTGGCTGACATATACTGTCATACTCACATGGTCCCTCTGTCACCCCCACTCCCCTGGGACCTGTCACACCGCCTTCTCACACCACCTCTGAGTGTGTCCCACTCATCCGGTCTCACTCTCTGTCACACATCATCTGCCGTGTGACACACAAAGCACTCGTGTCCTCCCCATGTTTCACACTGTGCCACACAATCTCTCGCTCTCACGTAGTCTCTTAATGTCTCAACCGGTCCCCCGAGTAGTGTCTCAGGCACACCCTACCTCAAGGGGTCCCACGCAGTCACCCACGCGTCATCTCTCCCATCTCACAGACACCATCGCACACAGCCTCTCAGTGTAACACAGTCTGTTTCACAGTCATACCCTTTGGCTGGTAGTCACAAAACCTCCCAAGGTCACACAGCCACACACCAACCTCTGGCGTCATGCACGATCTCACGGTAGTACACACTCACACAGTCTCTTGGCGTCACACGCCATTCCCCGGTGTCACCCAGGGGCACCCACGGTGTCTCTCCAGCCTTGGGCACATGCCTGCGGGCGCCCACACTCAGCCCTCGGGCCTCTCGCGACTGCCCCCTGATGGCCACACGGGGGCGCCCGTGGCCCGCCGACGCCGAAGCCTTAGGCGGAGGTGGAAGTTGGGAGGGCAAGCTGCAGACCCCGGAGGAAGACCAGGACACAGAAGGGTGGCGGGGGCTGGAGGCCAGAGGGAGAGAACTGAAGATGGACTGGGACAAGAGAAGTTCAAAGAGAGTGGGTAGAGAGTTGCAGAGAGAGGCTGTGTGGCAGAAAGAGAGGCAGAGACAGAAATTTGGAGAGTTGGAGACCTAGGGAGTAGGTGCACCAAAGACAGGCAGAGGAGGGCAGAGACAGAGACGTACAGGGTATAGGAGAGACACACAGACAGACATGTAGAGAGTCAGGGGCGCCTGCGTGGCTCAGTTATTAAGTGGCTGCCTTCCGCTGGGATCATGATCCCAGAGTCCTGGGATCGAGTCCCACCTCGGGCTCCCTGTTCAGCGGGAAGCCTGCTTCTCCCTCTCCCTCTGCGTGCCGCTCTGCCTGCTTGTGCTCTCTCTCTCTGTGTCAAATAAATAAAATCTTTAAAAAGGAAAAGTAATATAGAGAGTCAGAGACAGGGACCGAGAAACGCAGACACCTAGAAACACAGAAGCGAACAGACGAACGAACTCGCACACCACGCGGGTCCACAGGAGCTGGTGGCGGAGGCGGGGCCTGCAGGGCGCGCCCCAGGGGCGTGGCCCGGGCGCTCTGGTGGGCGTGGTTGGGGCGGGGTTCCGAAGAGGCGCGTCCCGGGGCTGACCATTAGGGGCGTGGGCTGGCGGAGGCGTGTCCCGAGCGGCCGGCGTTGGGGGAAAGGGGGTGTCTCCACGCAGTCAGCCCATCCAAATTCGGTTTTTACCGACTGCATGGGGAAGCGAGACCGGCTGGAAGGGGACGTCGGCCCAGGTGCCTGGCAGCGATTTGATATGAGGGTATCAGACCCTGACTCCCCCGCCCCCAACCCCGCAGTGGCAACGGGCCCAGGTGGGGGAGGGGAACCGGGCTCACATCTGGAAAGCATCAGGCGCGCCGGACGTGCCAGGGCCCCGGGCCCGGCTGCAGAAGGGGGAGGGGAGCTAGGGCGCCCTCGTCCTCCCCCTTAACGGGGTCTGCCGGCGCCGGGGAGGGGCCTGGGCTTGCGCCGAGCCTCTGCGCCTCCCGCAGCTGGTTTCCATCAGCAGTTTTGGCCTTGGCCGCCCCCAAGGAGGAAACCCAGCTTAGAGTGGGGGAAGACAGGGTGACGACCCAGTCTCCTATCCCCCTCCCTGACGGCAGCCAGACGCTGGGGGGCGGGGGAGACGGACTGACCGACGCTGCTCGAACCGTTCATAACCTCCATTTCTCGCCGGAGCTGCAAACCTCAGCCGTCTTTCCACCCGCATAACTTTAGTTTCCAGGTGTGCAATGCTGTCTTGTGCCGCAAAGGAATGGCCCCAGCCTCGTGACAGCCTAGGAGTCCATGGTATTGTTGTGCCCATTTTTTGGAGGAGGAAACTGAGACCCTGGATTTGGCTTCAGTTCTAGCTTTAATTATTCAAGAAGTGTGCAACGAATGCCAACAGTAACTCTAAGGTCGAATATCCCATCGCCTATTGTCTATTTCCAGCGGATGTCTGGTGGGTATGACACCGAGCTCCAGATTCCACCTGCCAAACCCTCTTCCTACTGCAGTCCCAACCATCTGATAGTAACTCTTAACTTCCCTCCCTCTCTCACACCACTGATCTCGTGACAAATGCCATTAATGCCGGCTTCCGGCTGTCCCCAGTGCAGTCACTTCTCACCTCCTCTGCTCTCCACACTCTGGTCCAGCCACCATTCCTCACTGGCTTCTCTCATCCTGGTCCCCACAGACCAGCCAGAGGGATCCTGTGGAGACGAAGTCCCCAGATAATAGCAAATGTTAGCGAGGAGGTGGCAAAATTGGAACCGTCACACACTGGTGGTGGGAAGTAAAATGTTGCGGCCACTGTAGCAGTCATTCTGCATTCATTCAGCAGCAGAACAGTCTGACAGTTCTTCAAAAGGTTAAGGTCCCCATATGACCCAGCAATTCCACTCCTAGGAACCGACCTTAAAAAAACCCCGAAAACATACATCCACACAAAGACTTGTACATGAACGTTCATGGCACCATGATTCATAATAGCCCCCAAGTGGAAATGACCCAAATATCAACGGATGAGTGGAAAAACGAAATGTGGTCTGTCCAGACTGTGGGATAGCATTTGGCAGTAAAAAGAAACAAAGTACTGACACGTGCTGCCACGGGCTGAACTTTGAGAGCATCATGCTAAATCAAAGAAGTTGGTCCCAAAAGGCCATGTATTGCCTAATTCCATTGATATGAAATGTCCAGAATAGACCAATATACAGGGACAGAGAGAGAATCCGATGAGTGGTTTCCAGGGGCGGGGGGATAGTGGACGATGACAGCTAAGGGTGCAAAATTTCTTTTTTTTTTTTTTAAGATTTTATTTATTTATTCGACAGAGATCGGAAGTAGGGAGAGAGGCAGGCAGAGAGAAAGGGGGAAGCAGGCTCCCTGCAGAGCAGAGAGCCCGATGCGGGGCTCGATCCCAGGACCATGAGATCATGACCTGAGCCGAAGGCAGAGGCCTAACCCACTGAGCCACCCAGGTGCCCCAAGGGTGCAAAATTTCTTACGGATGGAAATATTCACAACTGTGTGGATATATGAAACACCGCTGAACGCTACACTTATATGGGTGAATTTTATGATAGGTGAATTATATCTCAGTAGAGCTGTTAATCCTTTCACCTTCCTCTCTCCCTCCCCCCTCCCACCGGGAAAAACCCAAGTCCCTCTTGTGCTAAGAATTCTCCCATGTCACCCACCTCCCTCAGAGTAAAAATCAAAATTGTCACCAAGGCCCATGACGTCCCATGCAATGTGGTGGGCCCTACCATTTTCTGCCCACCACCCTGGCTCCTCTCACCACTGCTGTCCATCCCCCCAAGACATTCACAAGCCTCCCTCCCCCCCCTCGTTCAGATCTCCGTTCAAATGCTGTCTCCTCAATTAGACCATCCCTGATCACTCCGCTCCCCCATCCCACCCAAGTCCCTCATATCTCAGCTCAGTTTTTTCCCCATAGTCCCTATCACCTTTAACGAATTATACAATTTATTTACTTATTAAGTCAACAGCCTTGCCCCTTCCCC